CCCCCCCAACCCCCTACCACCACCTCATCCCACCAGATGTGGGCACTTCCTTTTCAGTGGCCGTGGAAAAACATTTTTCTCTCGCACAAGAGGTCGCGTTTTGTTTGTCGTTCGGGCCTGAGATTTTTATTCCAAAGATGCGTTTCCATTCCAAATAATAAGGCACGTGAGGCTCCATTGCAAACGAGGAAAGACGACGACGCTCTGCCAAAATGTTTCTGCTCATAAATCCGTTTGCCCCCCCCCCCAACCACCCCCCCGAGGCGGCATCTGCAATTGATTTGAGCGGAATGCTTTCATTTCCGCTTCGTTTTGACCTTCATTTCAGCGCATTCGGCTCAGCCCGAATCTCTGCGCTCCCTTTTTTAAGGGGGGGTGACTAGTCTTCACCGCGTACGCATTTCAAGTCAATGAATCAGCGGCATCCTTCAAATGCGGTCGGCTGCCGAAGTGACCCGCCGCGCCGCAAAGGCCTCGGCGTCTCGGGGGCGGGGCGGCGGCGTCCGTTAGTAGTAGCGCACTCTCCCGACGGTCCCCGTTCCCGTTCCCAGGACGTCCGGCTGTCCGTTCCTCCAGATTTCCCGGATGATGCGCTCGCGCTCCTCCAGCCGCTGCGCCCTCTCCAGCTCCTCGGCCGACGCGAACACGTTGGGCGTCCCGTCCGAGCGGTCGCCGATGCTGCCGTTCCCGGCGGGGATCTCGGTGGTGACGGCGAGCGGCGGCGAGGGGGCCACTTCCACGTCGTCGACGTCGTCGACGTCCTCCCCGGCGCTTTCCCGCTCCTCCTCGTCCCGCGGTATTTTTTTCTCGGGCGCGGACGAGGCGGCGGCGCCGGCCGTCCGGCCGCGCGGCTTGCAGGAGATGCGCATGACCAGCAAGCAGAGCGTCAGAACCAGGCCGAAGCAAACGCCCAGCACAAAGTACAGGCCGAAGCTCTCCGGGTTGCCTGCGGAACACGGGCGGGAGAAGGTGCTTCAACGGAAACGTCGGAAACGCAGCGGTCCAGTTTGCGATTTGACCCGGCGGAAAATGGTCGCTTTGCTCAACGGTGGCTTCACTCAAGACTCGCTCGCCGGTGACGTTTCAAGTCAAGCGCGTGACTCTCGGAGCCCCTCCGCCCCTTGCCCGCGGCCTCGGGTCTGCATGGGACAGACCCTCGATTCTAGGTAGCGAGGACTGAAGAGGGGGTCGGGGGGG